GGGGGGGGACGCCCGCTGGCGCTCTCCGATGTCAGCCAAGTCGCCTGAGTCCGTAAAATTAACTCAACACTCACTCGGGCCATTCCGTTTGTTGAGAACATTTCACTTTCAACGACACCTTGGCATGGACTCTTGCACAGTGGCCATATTTTCAAACTTTTTTTTTGTTTCTTGAATCACTTCTGGATGTAATACCGTTTGGATCGAATCATTTTTTGACCCCCCCCTCCCTTATATTTTTTCACAGCACGAGACGAAACCTTTCGACGTAAAATAGTCATGATCCAAATTTCACCCATGACATATTTTCACGCAATACTAATTTTGCACGTTTTAATGTGAAATGTAGCATGTTAAAACGTCATCGTGAACGGATCACATTATTAATGCCAAATGTGAATCACGTGGTCCTGAATGGAGCACGTCGAAATGTATTCACGGGTTAAAACGTGACGCCAAACTTCTATTCCTCACGCCAAAACCTGACACGATACTGAACACGTCACGTTTTAGCACGTGAGAACCTGAATGTCCTCTGGCAAAACTGCACCCGCGTTGGGGGAGTTGGAGAGGCTTTCGAGGGGCGCGGATGCAAACCTTTGACCCGGTGCCCTGTCGGTAGGAGCGTCGATGGCCAGCGCGCTGGGCAAAGGCTTCCTGGCGGTGCGCAAAGCGGGCCACCTTTGCGTGAGCAGCCAACGGCAGGCGTACAGCGACTACACGGGCCGGGAGAAGACCATGGAGGTACGGGACGACGTGATCCGCCCGGGTGAGCCGCCGCCCGAGCACACGCCTCGGAACGAGCGCGGCGGCGGCCGAGCCGTTTCGACCGGCCGCACCTTCGCAAGAGGCTTTGTTTGCCTTGAGAATGTCACGCGGGTTCCCGAGTGTGTTCGCGCTCGAAGCGCCACCGGTGGCCAGGCGGAGATTTCTTTGCCCGCGTGTTTGAACCGACGCGGCGCCTCCGCGTTTTGGTGATCCTCTTCAGCGCGATGCGGGCTATGGCGGCGGGGCGGGGCGGGCCTGGCTCCGTATCTGTAATCGTGCGACTTTTGTTGAGCGTGCGTGTTGCAGGTGTGAGGGTGTTGTTGGTGGACCAGTGGATCGAGACCGGGGGAACCATGAAGGCCGCCATCCAGCTGCTGGAGAGGATGGGCGCCACCGTCGTGGGTGAGCCTCGCATTTGCCGCCTCCGGACGCAAACGACTGCTTCCTTTTTCCCCAACGTGACTTGAATTTAAAGGGTCGCGAGAGCAACGTTGTGAAATCTTTGATTTTCTTCCTTGTCACTTTCTGACTTTAGTATTCTAACAGAGGAACAAAATTCCTTTTCCCATTTGTGTTGTAATATCGGAGGCCCCTCCCTCCCACTTTTCCAAAAATTTGCATCCAGAACATTTTGGGCCTTTTTTTTTCTTGTAATTGTCTGACAACTTTTTCCCATATCACAACAATGATGGGCAACATCGTTGCTTTGTATAGAACATTTTTGTAATTTGATGACAATCCTCACCTTGGAAGTTTTTGCGCAAATGACCTTTTTCCCCCCAAATTCAGACTTGATCATGCTGTTTAGGCACTTTTTTTAAAAAAAAAACGTTGCTTGAGGTCACTTTCTTCTCACGCGATTGGGAAGACCGTCCAGCGCGAGTCAAACGCAATTTTCTCGCCCTTCCCCTGACTCGATGTGTCCAAGTGAGTATTCGGGGCGTGTGTCGCGCAGGTGTGGCCGCTGTGGCCATCGAGAACACGGAAGGAGGCAAGTGGATTCGAGAGCGTTACAAATGCTCGCACTGCATCCCCGAGGAGCTCCAGAGCCAAATCGATGGCAAACATTTGGACTCCTTCAACAGCTTCGGGAAATGAAAAGAGGGCTCGGCGACAAGTCCCAAACATTCCTTTCATTCAAAGAAAACATTTTATTGTGGACTTTGCAAATACGACGGTCATGGCGGCGCCATTTGAAAAGGCGCTCGCTCCCTTTGGAACGCTCGTTGAAGTTCCCAATAAAGTTGGCCTCTTTTTACCGGAAGGCGACAATTGTTTGCTTTCTAGAACGGACGGCGAATCTTGAAAAGCGGATGACAAAAACCACCGTGCCGTTTTCCCCCTTGTCGGTGGCTCATTTGTTTGAAAGAGCAAGTCCCGCGCACGTTTGTTCACGACGCGGGAATGTCTTTGGCACAGTGGCGGCAGTCGGGGGGTCTCTCATGAAAAAAAAAAACATGTTTCACGCCTTTTTGATCACACCGAAGTTGTGATTCGCTCGACAGACATTTGGGCTGACCAATCGATATCGGCTAAGAGAGCGCAGACACATTTTGTTCAACTCCCGATGTGCACGGGGACTCACAAGTGAGGAAAAGCGGTCTTTGGGCCAGGACAACGTCACGCCTGCCCTCTGTGGCGTCCACCGCAGTGACGCGCGTACCTCCCACCCGAGCCCCCCCTCGCGCGCCCGCGAAAGGCGGCGTCACTGACAGCAGGCCGGCTGCTTCCTCTTCTTGGACAGATGGCTGCTGTTGCTCTGGATTCCTGGCGGGCATCGGGCATCGGTCACACGCTGGCTTGTCGCTTGCCCGCCGCGATTTGAGTCTGGATTCGGTCTACTCACTGACGATGTTGCCAATTTGCCTGCTTCCGCTCTTCTCCAGCTCGGCGAGGACGTTGGTTTCGAACGCCAGCGACGCCACCCGGAAGAAGAACTCCTTCACGTTCTCCCCTTTCAAAAGAGGATCGAAGCATTTATTTGATTTGATTTGTCAAGGATCAAGTCTTTTTCAAAACATTTTTTTCCTCCCGAGAAAAAAAAACATCTGACTCGATTATTTTCAAAATGAAAGACGCTTTTGAAAGAAGACATCTTTACTGCTCCATGTACAGCACTTGGTCGACAGCGGTGCTTGTTTGAAAGCGCTCGAGAAAGTGGGAGCCGAGTGAGGACGCTCTTGACGGATATTCAACATTACTCATTCAACGGATGCAGTGCATTTCCGGATTTTTCCGAACGAGCTTCGCGGCACCGAAAGAAGCCACTCACCTGTGAGCGATGACAGGGTCCAATACTCGGCTCGCATCTCCTGCGCCACCTGGAGGGCGTCTCGTTCGATCTGAGAATACTGAGCGGGAGACTGCGAGACAAACGAGGAGATGATCACGTTGCCGATGAAAAGGCCGGCCGATCCGTCGGTGGCGACGTCGTGTCCGGCGAAGGAGGCGCTCATGAAAGAGCGCCAGACTTACGCTCAGGTCTTTCTTGGTGCCAACCAGGAAGAGTTGAACGGCCGTGGGGTCGTTTTCTCTCAGGGCGTCTTCGAGCCACTGCCTGGGGAAAAAAAAAAAAACAAAAGGATCCGACAACTACTCCCTCCGCAGCCTAAGCATTCTACCCGTTTCTCTCCCACGAAAATAACGAACGTCAAACAACCGAGCCTTCCCCGACCCAGATTCTGGCCCTCAACCGAGCCCGGCACTTGGAACGGGTTCAAAGCCAACGCGAGCGGCCCCACCTGCAAAAACAGTCACCGGGTGCGACCTTACCTGCTGTGTTCCAAAGACGCGATGTCGGTAACATCGAACACGATAATCACCACTGCAAGAAAAAGCAACGTGACGGCCGTTAGACGGTTTGAGGAAGTCTTTCCTCGGGCTCGCAACCAACGGGCGCCGCCACCGCACTTGCCGGTGGCAGAAAACAAGTGACTCCTGCCCAGCCCAAGTGAAAGCATTGACGAAAGCTCGCGTTTGAGGGGGCGCCGCCAGACATGCCCCAAAATATGGAGATGATCTTCGCAAACGTGAGATGGAGCCTGCGCTCGGACGGCGAATCGCAGCGATGCGCAGAGCGGCCACCGTCTTGAACCCGGGAGGCCCGCTACGGTCCCGTCCCTCCGCTTTACTCGCTTTATTGATCTCGACTGAGCCAAAGTTTTGCAGACGCGATGTCGGTAACATCGAACACGATAATCACCACTGCAAGAAAAAGCAACGTGACGGCCGTTAGACGGTTTGAGGAAGTCTTTCCTCGGGCTCGCAACCAACGGGCGCCGCCACCGCACTTGCCGGTGGCAGAAAACAAGTGACTCCTGCCCAGCCCAAGTGAAAGCATTGACGAAAGCTCGCGTTTGAGGGGGCGCCGCCAGACATGCCCCAAAATATGGAGATGATCTTCGCAAACGTGAGATGGAGCCTGCGCTCGGACGGCGAATCGCAGCGATGCGCAGAGCGGCCACCGTCTTGAACCCGGGAGGCCCGCTACGGTCCCGTCCCTCCGCTTTACTGATCTCGACTGAGCCTTTGGACGCAAACTTTTGCCAAAATCATAACTCGCATAATTTGAGGTGATTTGTTTTGGTGAAAATGTCAGACATGTGGCCACAATGCAAAAAAAAACAAAAAAAAAAAACAAATCATAAATGCAATGGAAATTTCTCTTAAAATAAAAAAAAAGAGAAATAGAATAGACGTGAATTTCATGCATTTAAGTTTTTCAACTTAGTTCCTTAAAAATAAAAATGTTTATTTTTGTAATTTTTCTTTTTTTTTTTTTGTTTGGGGTGAAGAAACATTTTCAATACACTTTTTTTTTTTTTTTTTTTTTTTTAAGTGTGCTCATGCTCATTCAATTCTCTCTCCAGGCCACTATGAAGTTCATCTTGTCTTCTAATTGGTTGAATTAGGTTTAGGGTTTCTTTTTTTTCCCGGACAATTCTCTTTTTTGTCGGGGGTGGGGGTGAAGAGAAAAACTCTTACCTCGCTGACAGTTAGAGCTGTCACTTTGGCCTTTGTCGGCGCTTACTTGTGACATGTCTTAAAAACGACAGTCCGGGCTCCATCTCATGTTTCGACATAGGACGGCTCTGCTTTGGTGGTAGGATATGCCGCGGCGGTGCCATTGGCGCTAAATGCCACCCGAAGGTCCGCCTTTCAGTCGCGCTCGCTCACCTTGTGCTGCTCTGTAGTACGTGGAAGCGATACACTTGAACCTCTCCTGACCCGCCGTATCCCACCTGAGACGAAAAGCGCAGAGTCGCGGTTGGCCCGTGCGCGGCGGCGATCTACGTCACGCTCGGTCGGAACTTACAGCTGCAGGCTAAAAGGGACGCCGAGCACCTCAAAGCGCTCCATCTCGAAGTCCACGCCGATGGTGGCCTTGTAGTTCTTATCAAAAGCGTCCTTGCAAAACCTGCGCGAGACGTCACACGCCGTTAGCACGCCAGGCACCCGCTTGGCGTGAGCGCCGTAGCGACAACCCCCGCACGCTGGCCGCCCTCGGCTGAGCTCCCGCTGAGCGTATCAATTGACTCGTACTTTAGATCTCAAGGCACCCGACCGCAGGGCGTGACGTGAAATCGTCCTCGGCGTACCTCAACTGCGTTCAGGTGGCTCAATGTCTTTCAGTATTTCAAATGGCTCTTTTCTCTATTCTTTGTCCGCTGTTGGCGAAAGCAACGATTTCATGTGCTCCAATGTTGAAATGTTACCTGTTAATCAGACAGGTTTTGCCCACGGCCAAGTCGCCCACCACGATGACCTTGGCGATTTTAAACCTGCAGAAAAGAGGACAAGAGACATCAAGCCGCGAAGGCCTCCTCCTCCTCTGCACGTCACGTCTTCTTCTCTTTGCGGCCGGGGAACGCACCCGACCGTGCCGGTGCGCTGCTCCTGGCACGCCGCCTTCACTTTGGGGTTGAAGTCGCGCTCGATGTGGAGCGCAGCATCTTCGCGGAAACACTACAGAGAGATGCACAGATTCGGTGAGGGATTTTTCATTTCTTTTTTTTTTTTTAATGCCCTTTACTTTTAAAGCCCTTACGTGTACCGTTCAGGTCAAATTGGAGCCATTTTGACATTCGAGAAGAATAGAAATAGAAAGCCTAATGTCATTCTTTTACCCGGAAGTGTGTTGACTTTTTTGGTAAGAGGGTGAAAGGGGAAAGAGTGTTGGTGATGACATGAGTGTTTTACGTGAGGGAACTGCGGGATGATGCGATCCTTGCGAACGGGTGGTAAGACGCTCATGGTTGGACTTCGCATCGACATCAGGCCTGTTGGGCAGAGATGATTTATTAGAGAGCGGTGCTCCAATGTCGGGTGATTGGGGGTCTTTTTTTTTTTTTTGGCCAAATAACTTTCACTGCTATTCTGCGTGGGCGAGTAGTATAACGTTCTATTTTCTGTCCTGATGTGTGGATGCAGCGTATTTAATCAACTATCTGTTGCGTAAAGAGTTACAATGCTGCTACACAGATGTTTGTTCGTTTGCCTGTCTGTGGTGGTCCACATTGTTTTGTTAGCATGAGGCCAGACGTACTTTGATGAGGCACGGCGAGGTGCTTCTTTCAGACAACGTGAAAAGTGCAGTTGAGTCTGTTGTCATGGTGACACTAACAGACCGGCAGGGCATCCGACCCCTCTCAAACTTTGCCCGGTAGCCTCCTCAAAGTCTCCCTCGAGCAACGCGGCACACGACTTGAATTTTAGCCCGAATGATGTCGAATTGTGTTTGACTGTTTTTCTAAAAATCTGCAACGGGAGCGGGGTGTCGTCAGCCCAGGCTCGTTTTAAGGAATGCTGGGGGAAAGGGTGACTCACGGTGTGCACTTACTTGAAAGGGGGGCGAAAAAACAGCAAAAGGACGTTTTTTTAAATGAAGGAGTAGACAGACAACTTGAATCGGTTTCGCATCTAAATTGTACTCCTATTGCTCGTAAAATGTGAGACTAGTTTACGAAGAGTTGCTCGGTTCTAACTGGACTTTTAAAGCCAACATCACACCGAATGTGCCTTTTGAATTTTTATCACCGAGTATAGCGTAAAAACACACTTATATGAAAGAAACGTCGTAGTTCAATACGTAAGTGGAGGTGAATGGTGAAACGAGCGAAGAAACAGAAAAGAAGCCCTTACCTTAGCAAGAAAAGGAGGAGGTGGTGCTGGTGGTGGTGGTGGTGGTCGCTCTCCTTTTTATCCGTCTTTTTTTTCCCTCCCTTTCAACTCCAAATGTCACTCAATGTGAGGCCGACGCAGTCATGTTTGTGACAGGAGTGATGAATTATGGATTTTAAGCCGAATTGTGGAGAAAAAAAATCTTAGAAAGAAAAAAACTCAGGGGAAAAAGACGCAGCAAAACTAAAACCGCAGAACACAGATGATCCCATTTCTCCTCATCGCAGTGCGACCCCTGCTGGCCGAAAGAACAAACTACCGGATGTGATAGGAAATGAGGAAGACTAACCGGATGTGACGTTAGTTTGTAAATGTTAAGATAAGATTAAGAACACCTTTATTTGTCTCACAATGAAGAAATTCCCAATTAGCAAACATTTGAATTTTTAATGATTTTTTTTTTCTTTTTAATCAGTCATAATTTCAGTAATAACAACCGCTGTGGCCGTGGCGGCTGGTTTGTCTTCGTCCTCCGGTGCGAGGGCGGGGCGCTGACCGGACCGCAGTCAGATTTCGACGTCACGGCGTGTATGTTTTCGCCTGACAATACAATATTATGCGGTGTGGCTCGTCTTCATTAAGTCGACATTGGTGGTATTTTGATTGTACTAAAATGCGACAATCGGCGATGCTCATGGCTACCCCGCATCGGTCAACCATAATTTCAGTCATTCTTTTATTTACTTAACAGTAGAAACTCTCGAAATATGAAAATTCGTTTGCATGCGAGAAAGGCGTAAGTACACGTAAATCGTGCTTTTGATGTTGCAGTCAAAACTCTTAAATGATTCTCCCCCGTGCGTTCAAAGTAAATACGGCAGTTACTGCGACAGCGATTGTGACAAATCGGCATCGCGTGTCTCTGGAGCTTCAAAAGGTTCACTTTAATAGATACGCGAGCACCAGAAATACAGTCAGACTTTTAAAACACGTTTAATGTGCAATCTCACTCGTAGACTCAAAACACGTACCTGTCGCCACTTCATAAAAACACACGATAGTGTCACAGTCAAGTGTTGGAGGATTAAAGATTAAAATGTCCTTTTTTTTTTCTTTTTCGGACAAAAACGATGCATATTAGTTGTTTTCAAAAGGCACTGAGGGCATCATGGCATTGCAGAACAGATCAGCTGTTGTTACTTCCTCATTTCTGGACTTCACGCTCATTATCTTACCTGAAATGATCTAAAATGATACAAAAGTGAATATTTGGCTACCGTTTGAGTTATGGAACGATTTGACCGTGTGAAATGCGCTTAAACTTGAATGTGCACGTGTGGACGTTTGTTTGACATTGGGTCCGCCGCTCACTGATTCCTGACACTAAATAGACAAGTGGGTTTTGGGTGGGTTAGTGCTGAAGTGCTGCCTTCATAGGGGAAAATACACTTAATGCCTTTCGTGCACATCATAGTTTGCACTTGAGGCTCAACGGGAATTCAAACCCAAAACATTTAGCTTGCGGGCCAGACCCGTGAACTCCTCCTTCAACCTGCTTTGAAAAAAAAAGTGCATGCAAAAAAAAAAAAAAATCACTTGCCATCCAGATCCTGGTAATCCTCAGAGTGTCATGGGAGGCAAGATGTTTTTTTTTTCTCCCCCACCCCTCCCGAAAAGTTCAAATATGACTGATAGGCAACTGTGCTATTCTGCTAATGATGCACAGATTCAAACCCAGAACCCCTTGACTGCATGGCAGACGTGTTGTTAACCCCTACCCTACTGTGCTGCCACGGTCCTCAATAGAGAAAAAAAAAAACCCAAAATGATGAAAGGTCATCTTTGAGGCTTCATGTGTTATCCAAAGGACATAAAAGTATCGATAAATTGAAGCATAGTCAGGAGAAACGATGAACGGGCGAATCCGGACTTTCCACCGCGCGTCTCCGACGGTTTCTTCTTTGAGGGGCGCGGTGTCCGGTCGAGCAAAACAAAGCCCGAAACCCGCGACGACGAGGCGCTTCCTCGCCTCTCAATCGGTGACAAACTTCTTGGAGTTGTGCGTCCCGTTGCGGTCCGCGTGCGGGCCGCCGGCACGCGGCAAGAAGTCGGAGCGGATGAGGCGGTACAAGTAGACCAGCATGATGACGTTCATGGCCATCACGCAGGCCATGAAGAAGGCGGCGTGGTCCAGCTTCGAGTAGTTTGCGCTGATGTACCAGGTGATGTAGAACTGCGTGGCCAGGCGCACGGCCACGAAGGTGCAAACGTTCAGCACCTTGTTGAGGCGGTAGGCGGCCGACGAGGTGGCGCCCACCATCTTGAGAAGCAGCCGCAGGTGAAGCGTCACGCTGTTCACCTCCACCAACAGGACCATCACCGCGCCGGCCACGTACAGCTGCGTGTAGAGCGTGTACAGGAAGCACGAGAGTACCTGACAGACAAGACGGCGGAGAAACGCGCATGGGATCACCTTTTGGGCTCAAGGGGCAGAGTTGACGGTTCAAATGGGACAGATGGGACAAAGGTTAATCAAGGGTGAGGTTTCAAAATATATCGTAGATGTATTCAGATTTTTTTTTTTTGTAATTAGTTACAATTTATTGATCAATTATATCATCAAAAAGGTACATGTACAGCGGAACTGATTTATCGGGTTCTTGCGAAGGCTGCCGATAACAGCCACTGATACGGACGTCCAGGTTTTCCTTCATCTGCCCACCAAAACACAACGTATGGAAGTAGAGCACACGTTGAATTGGATTTATGACTTGGAGTGCATCGTTAGCGCATCGCTACGGTGGGCTGAAGGCATTCCGCTTGGCTGACGGAATATTTTTCTGGCTTCGATTGGATTTGGTGAACTTTGTGTTGAACTTGCTGCGGAGCCAAAAGGGATGGTGAGACCAGAACAGTCAGACAAAAAGATCGTCATCGTTCACATTCATTAATCGTTTTGAGAATTGAAAACTGAATGTATCAAAAGTGCTATTTTTTTCAGAACTGAGTACTTTTAGGAACATATTGACTCTTTCTAATTTGGTTTCCTTACAAGCGCATGGTGGATGAGGAATTCCCAGGATCGTCTTCCGTTTCCCGTCCCGATGATATCAGCCGTGTCGTGAACAAAGTATCCTGACAAGGGACGACAATGAAAAAAGATCAGCCACAAGACACGCTTCCGAGATCTTTTTCGTTTGTGATTGATGTAACAACCGCAACTTTGGGTCTGTTTTGTTTTGCTTTTTATACGTCTTCATTTTGCCATGACAATTTTTGCGGGTGGCGTTCCTGAGCCCACGCGGTGATGTCCTTGACACATCGATGTCGGTCTTTGATGCACCGGCGCCTGCATGAGGGGTGCGAGGTCACCGGCGGTCAATGTTGGTTCGGGGCCTTGCTGCTTCCACGCGGTGATTTGTCCAGATCGTCGGAAGCTTCCGATGATATTGTGGACCGAAAGTGCAACTGCACATCGAAGAACATTGTTCCTAAACCGTTGGACTATTTCCTCACAGAGAGGTGAACCTTGGCCCCTCTCGGCTTGCGAATGAGCGTGCGATTCTTTTTTCTTGCCGATCCTGACACACACGCCTGTTCCCAGTTAGCGTCTTCACACGCGGGATGTTCCAAACGGGTGTTTGATGAGCATTTGACAACTTCCGCTTTGAACGCCGTCGCATATTCATGGCAAGACAGGCTGAACCTGACTGGCAAATCACCGTCCTCTCTGTTTATTCTGTTGAGCACAACATCCCAATTTCATTGGCCTCTGTAGCTAAGTTAGATGACAACATTACTTTCTAGTTCCATCCGGATCATGCCGACAACCACGCTGAACGTCAAAACGGCGACTGGTTTTGCCAAAACTCGCTTGGAGGTGCATTTTTAACAGTTAAGTTGAAGTTTCATTTAAAAAAAAAGAAAAAAAAAAGGGAGACTCGCTTGAAGAGTCTTTCTCGACTTAACATAAATGCATAAAAAAATACAAATGTCAAGTAAATGCAGTCTTTGGACCCGGCACGGTTAATATTGTCGTACGTGTCGCTTGCTTTTGCGGCCAAGTGGCGAGTGGCTGCTCATCGTGTCCTTTTGATTTGTCATTTTGTCTGTCTCCGCATGTTGCTTTGGTTTGGCTGCAGCGATCCCACTGACTCAGAGCCCTTTTGTGCCACGGAATGACTGGCACGCTGTGGTTCTCTTTTGCTCACACACACACACACATACACACACAAAAGCATTGTGTGCATGTGTGTGTGTGTTAAACAACAACACAAGCAAGTGTTGTCAGGGGCCAAAGCTCCAGCGATATCTGCGTCTTGGTGCTGACACGCAAGTTGCAGTGAGGCGCCAAGCAGATTCCCGGGCCAAATGATCGTTCTGCCGCCTCGGTGATTTGAGAAACAGGCTTTTGTTCGCCGGCACTCGACAATGTGCGGACAACGCGCCACAGTATGACGCACGGTTAGATGGATAGACGGCCGGGTAGATAGATTAAGGGTAGAAGTTAAGTCCAGGCAACGTTGATGAGTTCACTGACCGGTGGAAATGCACACAAGCAGGTAGGACAGCGGCGTGTGGTAAAAGTGGAGGTCGCTCAGCGTCTCGGGCCACAGCAACACACTGTGAGGATGACAATGGTTGGACATATGCAACATCGTGTCGTGAGCAGTCGTTTTAACAGAATTATAAAAAAAAAAAAAACAACAACAAAAGATTTTTCAGGCTAACATGCTTTTTTTTCCCAGGAAAAAGTAACACTTCAAGGAAAGCATCCCGATTTTAGGTGTGTCTATCTGTGCGTGTTTGTAAAGGGAAAAAAAGACATTTGCAAGATTTTGGGGGGAGGAAAACGCATGCAATGAAATTGTCAAGAACATGTGCTCCATGAAATATTTCAAGCGGCAAAAAAAAAAAAAAAAGGGGGTGTGTTCTCGAAATATTTGGAGCGCTTTGCGTCGAAAAACAAAAGCGACTGTACCTTTCCTGCGGAATGCGACTTGAATGAGTCACCAAAAGCTGCTCAGGTGTGGCCGCGGCAGGTTTGGCCAGTCAACGTTCAACCAATACTAGTCCGACTTGTACCTCGGCTGGCAGATCGCAATGAGCTTTTTTTTTTTTTTCCGCTGTAGCTTGTACACTCGTCCAAACATGCCCACTTTGACACACGCACGCACGTGCACACACTCGCACACACACACCATAACGGCGTGGAAATACTTTGTGACTCTGCGTGGAGAGCTTTTTCATCTTTCTGTACTTTGGGAGAGAATTTCATTTCCTGAGCACATTTTGACGAGGGCTATCGGGACTTTTAACCCTCCACTTGCTCAAAGCAGACTTGGAGAAGCAAGCTATTCCCCACCCACGGCCTCATTCAAGTTTGATTATTATTGGTTGTGGGAATAACGCGCGGGAAAAGTTTCACAATCAAATCCAAAACCACAAAAAAAAAAAACAGTGTAGTTGACGGGGGTCCGAACCCCAAGCGGGTCGCGCCGTGGGTTCGAAGCCGAGCCCCCCCTGCGCCGTGGCCGCCTCGCTAGCCGAGCGCGCTGACCGCTGAGCGAAAACTTGCCGACCGCTTTCTTGCTCTCGTCCCGCCGCCGGCGTCGTCGTCGTCTTCCGCGCGCCGCGCCGACTTAGGCCACCCGACAATCTTGCCTTCCCCGTTGCCCGTTGCTGATAAGCGCCGTCGTCACAACTGACCTTTGACACAGCGTTGGCCGGCTGGGCTCCGTCATTTTCCCGGACGGCTTTTGCGCGGACCATATACGGCGACGATTTGGCCAAACGCGCGGGGTCCCAAGGTCAGCCGCTTGCTTATCAAGGGAAAATGTCCTGCGGGCGCGTGTACCTTGGCGCACTTTGATAGCTCGGGTTTTTTTCCATACGCTATTTGCTGACTTTGAATTGATCGTTTGAATCCTGTGCGCTCTTTGATTGGCGAGTGCGAAATTGATCACATTCAATGGTGACGCTTCGAAAAGTTCCCCTTGAGACCCGCTACTTTAGCCACCTCCGATTTTTTGACTCAAGTAGAGAGTACTGATATCGGTTGTTTTCGACTGTGGCCAGTAAAAATAAGAAGTCGGCGGGAAATACATAGCCACAAAAAAAAAAAAAAAAAATCTAGTCAAGTATAGAGTGTGGGTCCTTGGTGATGATGTTGACGAGAAAGGAGTAACCCACCAGGATTGGACCGGTTTCAAAAAGGAGATCAATCAAACCCGCCGAGCGATGCTCACGCCACCCCTATTAAGTGAGAAATCACGGCGTGTCGCAGCATCCGCAGTCAGGCTTCCGTCAAAGTGAAGGCGCACCTATCCGCAACTTTGCTCAAGACGCTCAGAAAAGAAGCAGAGGCGAGTCTGAGTGCAAAGCAAAATGTTTTGCTGCGCTTCATCTCCGAGATAAGCCCATTTGATTTGCCGTTGCTTTGCAAGCTAACGGCCACGAACACCGTTTTGCATGCTGCGATTAATAACCCGTTTGATCAAATCGTATCAGAGAACAATGATGCAAACCCCCCCAAAAACGCTCTTGAATCATCACCCTTCTAAAGCTTGTTTTTCACTTGGATTTGTTCCTGCTGTGATTGTCAAGATGTTGAGCCGAATTCTGGTGAGGTGCGCATTTTACTTCATGAAATGAAATAGAGTGCGGATGTTTTGATCAAGAATTACTTCCGAGCCATGTTATTTGCGTGAAACGGGTTAGCGCGCGCACCTCACAGCGCAGAGGTGGAGGGTTCGATTCCGACTCTGGCCTTCCCGCGTGGCGTTTGCCCCGTGCCCCCCCCGGGTTTCCTCCGGGTACTCGGGTTTCCTCCCACGTTCCCAAAACATGCCCGGCAGCTTAACCGAATTGTCCCAAGGTGCGACTGCGAGTTGTCTCCGTGTGCACCCCCGCCTGCTGCCTGACGTCGGCCGGGACGGGCTCCGGCGTTCCCAGCGACCCTTGTGAGGAGAAGCGCCTCGCGGTCACCGGCTGCTCCCTCTGAATTGTGGGATGCTTCCTCTGGGGGTAAAATGAAGGTGGCTGGCCCACCGGGCATCTGCCCCGGACAGCGGATGGCCAGTCCAGCCCCACGTACCGAAATTTGGGACTCGACTGGAAGTTCTGAGTATGTGCGTAAGTCCTCCTACCTGGAGACAGCCCACGTCCCGGTGAGGGTGGAGTGCACCATGGACAAGGAGAGGTTCTTCCACTTCCAGGCTTGGAACTCGTCACTGGCCACCACCTTGGGCGGGGTCACCTTCCCCAGAAGCCCGTGGACCACCCTGAAGAGGACGGCGAAGAGCACCACCGAGGGTCCCGGGTGCCTCTTGAGCGCCGCGACCAGGGCCTCCATCCCGGCTCCCACTTGCGCCTACGCGCGTCGCGCTCCGTCCTCGGCCCGGAAGCCCGGATGCGTCTGAGTGGAGACCGTTCGGGACTCCGCGCGCTCCGCCGCCAACGCGCTGCGCGCTTTCGATCGTGTTACTTCCACGCAAAGTCAGAAAAGGAGAGGAAAAGGGTGGGGAGCGTTTCGGTGATGCCGTCGGAAGCCGAAGGTCCGCTCGCCTGTTGCGCTCTGCGTTGTCGCTCCGAGTGAGGGGAGGTGTGAGGGGTCGGGGCGGTGTTGGAGGAGCGCCTCGTCACGTGCGTGCGCGCGCTGCACCCATCGACGACGCAAACAAGGAGCACGGGGCGGGGCGGGGCAAGACGGAAGACGCGAGAACGTACGCAAGGGGCCGAAGTGGACGGAAGAAAGGCAAGGAAGTGCGCTCGGAAGGAAAAGAATACTTCCTTCAAACAGTTCTGGTCACACCGGAAGTCGCAGGCCGAATAGAAAGACTTTGGCTCTCCAACGCGAGAGACGCCAAGTGACACGGCACAGCTTCATTCGCACCCCACGTAGAAGGCAGCTTTACTTATTCAACACATTTCATGCACGATGTGCTTCGCAATTTCAAGAAAAACATTTAAAAGCCGCCTTACCACACAATATAAGACAGCTAAAAGCAAACACGAGAAATGGAAAAGTAGCGTTAAAAAACGTAAAGTGCAAGAACAAGATTGGGGAACATTTTTACCACTGCTTACAAAGACCTTCATCACAGGCGAAAAGGAAAATACTATTTTGGGATTAAAACGAGGGGAATATATATACACACACTGAGAGTTCAAATAATCACAATCTTGTCATGAATGTGTTTGCAGTGAGCAGCAAAAAAAAAAAAAAAAATCGCACGTGGCGACTTGCTCCAATGAAGAAAAAGAGACGGCGCCTGATGTGAGTTTTTCGGGCGGACAAATGAAAAGATCCGCTAGATGTCAGCAGAGGCCCGCGTTGAGAATGCTCGGTGGAGGGCTCGCTGCCGTGCAGTTCCTCATTCGACCGCTGGATGGCACACGGAAAGTGAGGAAGTCCTTTTTGTTCGATCGGTGTCGTCCGAGTTCACTTTGAATTTCGAACACTGGTTACTGGTTAAGGTTGAGGGTTTGAGACTGCATTCGGGTTTTCAGTTTCGGTTTCAAGGCTGGGTTATGACTTCTACAGCCTGCCTTAGAGTTTCACTGTCGGGTGGCGAGCCCAGGTTAGGGTTTCAACACATCAGATTAGGGTTCCAAGCCTGGGAAATTGCTTCAAATCAGGTTTTACATCCCATTTTAGGGTTTGAAGCGAGGTTTGATTTAGGGTATTAAATTAGACTTTCAAACCTACATTTTGATGCCATTGACGGCTGTGAATGTGTGCGCGCTCGGGCTCGTGCAAATTTTATTCAATATAAAAATGGATGTTGATTGTTGATAACGTGTTTCCAAGTTTTTGTTTCGCGGGCCCACCCCCGCCCCCTTCCCTCGACCTTCTAGCTCCGCCACTGGACAACAGGTTTGCCTAATAATCTGTCTCGTGGAATTGTGTATTGCCCTCGTGTGAAAGGCGAAGAGCTGAGCCTGAGTATTTGTTCTGATGGAAGTAACGCACGTGATCTTCTCATAATCCTCTAAAAACATCCTGTCTGAGTTTCAGTGCGGCGCATTCCCCGACACGGACTCTCGCGCGCCCGAATAGGCCGCGGAGCCAGTCCAAGGAGCGGCGGGCATGTCGCAAACTTCCTCAAGGTGCTTTTTCTCCCAATGTGATATTCGTGAGAAAGACACCGGCCGGCTTTCTCAAGCCAGCCCCGCTCGGCTGGCTTCATTCCTGCTGCAGCGACGACGGAACCGGGATGGTCTGCGCGTCATTATGCACTTTGAGATGGATGATCATCGTTGTGTTGCTACACAGGCCTTTCTTTGTCACGGCACAAAGCATTTATTATCCAGCACGCTATCTCCTTTTCACCTCACCTTCCCCCAGACCGCACTAGAGTCGGCATTGGCCATTTACCGGAATTCGTGAAGTGGAATTCTTTCCCGTTCTTGTTTGATGTACAGCTTCAGCTGTTCAACGGTCTCCGTTGTCATATTTTACGCTTCATCATGCGCCACACATTTTTAGTGGCAGACGAGTCTGGACTGCAGGCATGCTAGGAAGCCACACTTTTGTAACATGCAAAGAAATCGCTTTGGCTTTGTCTTGCTAAAATAAGCACAAAAAAGATGGGAAAGGGTCAATTGATATGCAGTGATTCTATGGTTAAAAAAAAGCATGTTTCCCTCGGTCCAAGGTTTCATTTCTGTGTATTCTGTGTCAAAAAAAGTCAGACTGAAAGATTAACGATGAGCATAAGCAGTAGAAGTGGAATTCTTTCCCGTTCTTGTTTGATGTACAACTTCGGCTGTTCAACGGTCTCCGTTGTCATATCTTACGCTTCATAACGCAATGTCCTCGTCAGAAAGTAACGCTCCTTACCGCGATGTACATTTTGTTCATCAGCAAGGTCGCGGCGGAAGGATCGTTGTCACGAAGGCCTTTTGAGGGTCAATTGATATGCAGTGATTCTATGGTTAAAAAAAAGCATGTTTCCCTCGGTCCAAGGTTTCATTTCTGTGTATCCTGTGTCAAAAAAGTCCGACTGAAAGATTAACGATGAGCATAAGCAGTGTAGAATACAGATGACTCCGGAAGCTACACTCCAACCTCCTTACCGCGATGTACATTTTGTTCATCAGCAATGTCGCGGCGGAAGTTATCCCCCCACGTATCGTTGTCACGAAGGCCTTTTTACCATTTGTGGGAATAATCTGGTCGGTGTAATCAACTTCACGTCATCAAGGTGTTCGTTGTAAACAACATCGGCCGATGGATAATGAACGACGTGAAATCGGGACTTTGAGATGTGAACTTTATATGGCGAAGCCGTTGCAAACGGGTTACGTTGAGCCGAGGTTCGACGGCAAATTATTTATTTATTTATTTTGCCTTTCGCATACACTCCAACCTCCTTACCGCGATGTACATTTTGTTCATCAGCAATGTCGCGGCGGAAGTTATCCCCCCACGTATCGTTGTCACGAAGGCCTTTTTACCATTTGTGGGAATAATCTGGTCGGTGTAATCAACTTCACGTCATCAAGGTGTTCGTTGTAAACAACATCGGCCGATGGATAATGAACGACGTGAAATCGGGACTTTGAGATGTGAACTTCATATGGCGAAACCGTTGCAAACGGGGTACGTTGAACCGAGGTTCGACGGTAATTACTTTTTTTTTTTGCCTTTCGCGTGTTTTGTTCCTCAATGGCTTCCGTAGCCAAAACTTGGGTTGCCAAGGGAGACGGCGGAAGTGTTTGATCTCAGCGGCCCTGATGGAGAAATACGAGAAAATCAAAGTTGTCGGAAGAGGAGCATTCGGGTAAACCAAACGGCGTTCAGCTCGACTATTCACCGCTTTGCTACGCCCACATACTTTTCGGGAGTATTCAGAGAAAGAAAGTAGGCTCACGTTTTAGGTGTAAAAAGTCACCAAGTTGAGTCCAGAATGCTCAGCTAACTAGCTACTGGACCTTGATTTGCGGACAATGGACACGAATGGCCAGTAAACATTTTCAAAGGGAGAGAAGCACTGAGCATTTTTTCGACCTTTTTTGAAACGCCCCCAGGCGTTCAGCTCGACTATTCACCGCTTTGCTACGCCCACATACTTTTCGGGAGTATTCAGAGAAAGAAAGTAGGCTCACGTTTTAGGTGTAAAAAGTCACCAAGTTGAGTCCAGAATGCTCAGCTAACTAGCGACTGGAACTTGATTTGCGGACAATGGACACGAATGGCCAGTAAACATATTCAAAGCGAGGGAAGCGCTGAGCATTTTTTTCGACTTTTTTTGAAACGTCCCCCCCGTACTTTTTCACTTGTGTTTTCAGTCAAGAGAAAAACTTGGTAAAGTTGGCAACAAAGTAAGGCATCCAAATAAAAGGCGCACCGAGAAATACTGCTAATCGATTTTTAAAGTCATGTTGATCATTTAGTTCATGAGTTCTTGCAACTTTGGCGTGTCACATCCGAGGGTGACCCAGACGATGGAAGGAAGCATTTGTACACGGGAAAAAAAATCCCAATCACGTTACAACGGGGTCAAATTTCGCGTTTCAACATGTTAAAATTTTCACGTTACATTGTTATATGTTTTACATTTTAGCGTGACAAATGATTAAGACAAATCTGACTTACGCATGCGTTTAAAAAAGAAAGAAGCAGAGGGCAATTCAATTCCGTCACCCCAAAAAACGGTTACAGCCTATTTTGATATTTGCAACGACAAAGCAAAAATGATGGATATCAGTGCGATGTCTTGGAACTTATTCAATATTTTCACGTTAAAAAAGTCATCCAATGACTCTTTTATGCGTTGAGTAAAACGCCTATTTTTCATATTTCTTGAATAAAAAAAATGCAACACGTTATATAAAAACACTAAATTTGACAATTCAAAAGTTTGAAATGATGTAACACATTTTCTTTGACCTTATTTTTCCTTCGTGAAAAATAATTCTTTTCTTACTTATTTCTCCCCCAAATTGTGCCAGATCATGGTTATTAACTTTTCAAAATTTTTACTTGTTGAATGGCGGGGGCTCACGAAACACATCCAGATCCCCCAAACGGCCCCCAAGCTGTATTTTGGACACATTTGGTCTCTCCGCTCCAAAGTCTTGTTAATGGACCCCAACCGTCCTTCAGCATCGTCCCCCTGTGTCGGCGGCGCAGCGACGGCGCTTTGGTCATCCTGAAGGAGATCCCGGTGGAGCAGATGTCCCGCGACGAGCGCCTGGCCGCTCAGAACGAGTGTCAGGTGCTGAAGCTGCTCAACCACCCCAACATCATTGAGTACTACGAGAACTTCCTGGAAGACAAGGCGCTCATGATTGCCATGGAGTATGCACCCGGTAAGCCACGTCCAGCCCACATGAAACTTTGGGAACAAGTGCGCCGTGCGCGGATCCGCAAAAAAAGTCACATGAAGCCGCGGCTGAAAAGACACAGTTTGGGGTCCGATGACACGATAAGCGCTTCGCGAAATGTCCTTCAAATCAGATCCCGAAGCCGGTTGGCTGACGGGCTTGATATTTGCTCAGCATTCCTCCCCATATGAATGTTGACATGCAGGTGGCACCCTGGCCGACTACATCCAGAAGCGCTGCAACTCGCTGCTGGACGAGGACACCATCCTTCACTTCTTTGTGCAGAT